ATGAACTCACTTAGAGATCAAGCAAAGAAAAATAAAATTTCATTTCAATATTCATCATCATTACAATGCATGAGGCCTCCTTTAAATAGGCCAAGATAAGACAAATCTAGAAAGACACAAATGCCCTCAGGGCTACACAAGCGACTCAATACCCACAGGGGCAAATTAGGAAAATAAAATGCGAGAATAAATAAAATACAAAATAAATCAGAAATAAAGGCTCTGGATCATAGCCGTCGAACTGCATCTCTGACGATGGCACACGTGACGAAATCTGATTTCCTCATCACATTTCCCAAGCATTCAATAAGCACAAGCTTGCTCAGGAAAGGATGAAAGAGAGAGAAAGTCAGTTTTGGAGCATTTTTGTCTTTCAATTTTATTTAGAGATTTCTTATAATCGTTGTAAGTAACTCAATTTAGTTTTCAATGATTTTGAGTTTGACGGATTTATTTTCTTATAAATTGATATAACTGTATTTTCTCCTTTTTTTTTAGATCTCTTATGTCTCACTCTCTCATTGTCTTTCTTCACCCTTGCACTATTCACACTCAAGAATAAACAAAGATATACAACTAGAAACAACCAAGGGTGTAATCCTTAATGAAAAAACAAGAAAGAAAATTGCCTAGTCTGCCATACAACGCCCCTTAGAAACACCGCAGTGCTTCACTCTCTGTCTGTCTCCAGTAAACTATACCGTACCGCAACACTCAGGTACACAGCACCACAATGTTGTATGGTTCTACGAAAAAAATTGTTTGAATTGTTTATTATGTTAAAGCAAGCAAAAGATATTATAGTTGTTCAATGAGTTTTTGATAGTAAGTAGATACAATTTCAGCAAAATCAACAAACGTTAACAACAAATTCGGAATAACACACAGATGCTCTTTTTGTTGCAAGAGATATGAAGAAAAACAACAAGATACATTTGGATCTTAAATTAGAGAGGAAGATCTGACTTTCCAAATCTCTAGCCACTGACGGTCCATCTTCTAGAACCCTCTAAAAAAAAGACTAGGAAACAAAAATTACATCTTTCCAAAATTCAACATAATTAGCCTTAAATAGGCTCCCCCTAATTCCCTCTCAAATCAGACCCTTTCACTAAATAATTTCCTATTAAATTTTGAACTCAAATTAGATCTCTTGCCCTAAATAATGCCCTACCAATTGTATTTAAAAATTTTCTAAACAATTCCTCCTTGATTCCCCCTTTCTCCTAAATAATTACCTCATACATTTTGAATTCAAATTGAATATCTTGCATAAATAATTTCCTTCTAATTATAATTAAAACTTTCCTAAATAATTTCCCCTTGGTTAAGAACCTTCCTGAAAAAGTGCTCTGATACCAATTTGATAGGAAGTGGATACAATTTCCTCAAAATCAATAAATGACAATAAGAAATTAGGAAGAAGAATAGATCAAAACTATTTTTATTGCAAGATATATGAAATAAAATAGCAAGATACAATTAAATCTTCAATTGGAGAGGAAGTTTTGGCTCTCCCAAATCCCTGGCAATCAGCTAAAGCCTTAACAATCTAAGAAATTCTAATTTCAAAAAACTCAACACATAATCCTGAAATCACCATATTGTTATCCTTAAATAGGCTCCTCTAATTCCATCCCAAATCAACCCCCTTTTCCTAAATAATTTCATCTCATATTTGAATTCAAATCCGATATCTTGCCCTAAATAATTCTCTCCCAATTGTAATTAAAACTTTCCTAAACAATTCCCCCTTGATTCCTACTCCCTTTCTCTAAATAACTCCCTTTTAGATTTTGAATTCAAATTAGATCTCTTGCCTTAAATAATTCCCTCACAATTGTAATTTAAACTTTCCTAAACAATTCCCTTTTGATTAAGAACCTTCCTAAACAGCTCCTTATTGACTAGGAAACTTCCTAATTATCTCTCAATCAAATCGGTTGGTCCATCAGTTTTTTCTCCTAAAGAGACTAAGACTAAATTGTGTCATTGATGGTATAGAGAGGATATGCTTTGATCTTATGGTAACAAATTCAAAATGTTCAAATCAATGACCAGATATTATAGTCAGATTATAATCCTATGAAATTTCATTTTTATTTTCTTCAATACAAAGAAAGCATACGAGTAAGTTAGCGAGGACATAAGTGTCATGCATAAAATAAAACCTGCTCAGAACCTGCATACAATTTTGGTAAATGTGGTGAAAAATCATGTCCTTATAAGCCCTACTAAAAGGAGAAGCTAAGAGCACTTTGTGCCTTTAGAAATTCTGATTTGATGATGGATGTTGCACGTGTCAGGTCACAAAGCCACACGAGCTTTCTAGATAACTCCTTTTAACAGTTAAAGATTGGCAGTCTTGATATAGAAATATATGCTGAGGCAGAAGAACCAAAAATGTTAAACAAAAAGAAAAGTTAGTGGTGTTGATATAGATAGCAAGACCAAATAAGGCCTTCTAAATTATTTTTTTAATCATATGAAAATGTAAAATGTACAGTTTCCCATCCCCCTGTAAATATGATTACAATTAAAAGCTTTTATTACTCCTTACCAGACTTGATTTATATAGCTGGAAGAATGCAAATATGAACAGATAAAATGGAAGAATTACCCACAACAATATGAAATAATAGAAGACTGTGATAGTATCTTCAATATTATAAGATGATTACACAGATGGCATGGGCTTATTCTTCAAGAAATGGCTAAAGAGTATGAGAGCTTGGCGGGGTTTAAGGATGGGAACCTCATGACCTGCTCCACGGATGGTCACAAAGTTTAAGCCCTTATAGACCTGGCTCCATCCACCAACCTAAAAGATCACCAACACCAAGCAATAAAGATCTTTTAAGCAAATAGAGTAATCTAAATATAATAAGTGAATTAAAGAGCGAAATTGCTCCAAGGAGCTCAAATTATCGACTTACATTTCCATGGTCATACCAAGGATACCAGTCAATGAGTGTTGTCAAGTTCAAAGCATTGATTGAATATCTAGTTGCAGTCAATGGCACCACTGAATCTGCGTCACCACTGCAAGATTAAGTGCAAAAGTCAGGGAAGTACACATGCTAAAATGAGCAAATTTGGTAGTTAAATATTAAGAAAAAAATTAGATTTCTCATGATTCTACTACTTGTATACACATAGTTGAACTTTAACATGTTATTTATCATAGAATCTCTGCTATATATAGAAAGAGTGTATGTTTTCAATCATCAGAAAAGAACAATTCTGCAAGGAAGGCAAGCTTTAAGAATCCAATTGTATCCCGAGATACAAAAAAGTGTCAAAATAATTAATTAGTACTCTTTCTTAATGATGAAATTTTTCACCAATGCTATAATACCCACTTGCAACACTCACAATTAGTGCATATCACAGATAATAGAAACATTACAAACTCGATTACCCATACCAATATAGTGAATGGATAACTATGTTTGATGAATGTTTTAACCAGTGAGTTTTCATACCTGAAAATCCAAATCCGCAGGCCGGCTGCAATAAGTTCTTTGTATATAGGAAGCATAGATTTTGGTGAATCACCCCAATTTTGCGCAATTATGTCACTATAAATAAGCCAAGGGAATTTTTATTGAGCTCAAACTACAATAGAAATTGCAACATACTAAAGTCTTGAGAAACAAACCTGCATTCTTTCCAAGGATAATTCAACCCTGTGACATTGGCATGGAGTGCTCTTTGCACTTCAGGGTGGTTGTAATACAACTCAGCGTATCTATATGTGCAGGGATCATAAGCTCTCGACATCCAAGGCTGATGTAAATAAAATAGAATACATACAAATGAATCCATATTCATCATTGACAACAGATGAAATTGGAGCAAAAAGATTTTTTTTTTTTTATATATTTTCGCATATTTCAAAAGAGAATTATAGAAGGAAAAAGAAATCAAATTGAAACTACGAAATTTTGGAAGATTTTAACTTCAAATTTTTACGAGCTGGGAAGTGAGGACTAACATAGTGACCTCTCAATTTACGCTTGAGAGATGAAGAAGATATGTTACAAGTAGGAGTGTAAATGCTGTATGGATCAATATCTCCCATTTCTTTTCCAGCAGCATCTACCTGCTTTAAACAGGCTGCCGATGGGTGCTGCGATGACTGTGATTTGCAAGCAGCATTCAGGGCTTTATAGGTCTTATCAGATATAAGCCCGTGAGTCCACCAATGCTCAAAAGTTCCAAATAGATCATTATCATCATCAGTAACAGCGTTGCCCACCTATAATAGGTAACATGAAAACATCCAAAGTACAAGCTTCAATTAAACAGCAAAGTTAAGAAACACAAATAAAATTGGGAAATACCATGAACCCCTTAAAATTAATGCTAGGTCTCTGAACTCCTTGATTCTTTCGGTAGACAATTTGAGAAAGTTGAGGAACATAGTGGCCTGAGAAAGATAAGAGAAGCAAAAAAAAGCTAAATCTCAGATCATGGATTAAAGACTATGGTCTTTTCAGCTCACCTGCATAGCTTTCCCCAGTCATATAGAAATCCCTGAACTTGTACTGGGGGAATCTTTCGAACCAATTCACGAGAAAAGTATAAGCATCCACCGCTTCATCAAAGGAAGAACTTTTAGAAAGGAGAGAAACAGATTCCAGAATATTCTCAAATAGAAAATTTTAGAGACCAAATTTTGGAACACACCCAACCTGTCCTCTGGTCTCCAGCTGTATAGAGATCCGAGGTTCTATTGGTATAGGAGAAGCCAACCCCGGCCGGTGACTCCAGAAAAAGAATGTTAGCCACTGCCACCGCAAATAAACCCAAAAGATGACAATTTTAAGGTCAAGAAAATTGATTTGAGACAAATCTGAACAGGCCTCTTTTATAAGACCAACCTTTGTTCCACGAGTAGGGGTTGAGATTGAGAGTCCTGCCATCGGGCTGAATTTGGAAAGGACCCAACTCCTCGGAGGCGCCATAGGCGATGGAAGAACAGCCCGGGCCGCCAGTCAGCCACAGAACAAGCGGGACAGGCTGCAATGCCACTGGTGCCTCAACAAACCAGTAGAATAGTGCTCGACCAGCGTTTGCGTCCACAGTGACATATCCAGAATACTGGTTGAACTCTACGCTGGGCTGGCCAGGTAGACGATCGATCTGGTCAAGCTTCTGCTGTGGCGGCAAAGTGGCAATCACTGCCGCTGCAGCTGCCGCCAAACAATAAACTGCGACAAAAAGAATCGGTAAAGTATAGAAAGAGGAAGCGACCATTGTCTCTATTTGTCTTGGTGAACAATGGCAGATCAAGAGGGAGGAAGAGGAGTTTATAGGCGTTAAATTGGAGGCAAAGAGCTACATTTTTCGAAAGTAATTATCGAATATTGATCAAATTATATTTGAACTTTGGAATTTTCTAAAATAGATTAATAATTCTAAACCTCTTCGAAATCTGAGGTACTCTTTGTTTGGTTAGAGCAGGGTAGAGAATTAACTGCGTCAATTCTGGCGTGCTGTTCTCCACGAGACTTCGACCGTTCTTCTTCGGTTGATAGTTGTTAAACGCGATGAAGAGTGGAAAACGTGATAGCGAGAAAGAGGAAAGCCGCATTGATTGATTTGTACGTCGCTAGCGTATGAAAGGAAAACGAAAGCGATTGGAACTTAAGAGCTTGCATGTTGTGAGACGGAAGCTATCCGGGGGTTAGGAGGAGCATCGTCACTGCTGGGGTCCGCCCGTGAAAGGATCTCATCCTTATAATGAGATTTTTACGCAGCTCATCTTGGCCAGAGCTTATGGTTTCAATTAAGAGGTCTTGGATTTTTGAGTCTTTGTGTATGCATTATGTGTGTGTTTACCTTAAATGATCTAAATGTCCCAATCAAAAAAAAAAATAATGAGATTCTTTGAGGTTTTATCTCTCCCAATCCATCTCATCAGAAAATTATATTTATGAGGCAAAATCAAGTTGAAAATTTTTAAGATTAAATTCGGGATCATTTGAACTCATATTTTAGCAAATTTATAGTCAAATTGAACGTATCAAAAATACGAACCCAACGACACCAAATTTTACACAATCCGAGCTCAAATGGGTCTAAATGAGATACCTGAAGCGCATTTGGAAAGTTCAAACCATAAATTTGATGACCTAAAGGCTTCCAAACATGATATGATTATACTCAAATCGAGAGGCTCGATGAGATGTTCCAACGAGCCCTAGATCGTCAAATTCTGATATCATAAAAACATTTAAATGTTAAATAAACATTTTGTGATTAAGGGTGCGTTTGGGACGGGTGCAGTTGTCGGTAAAGCAGGTTGTGAAGTTGGTGTATAGAAAGCTGCTTTTTGAAGTTACTGTACATAAATCATTATATTTTATTTGGATAGTATAACTGTCAAACTGCTGTTCTGCACATGTATGCGAACAAATTATCGTACTACCCTTATATATATTAAGATGAAAAAAATTTGTATAAAATATATATTTTTTTTCTTTTCATGTGCATAATACAAACTAACAATGTTAAATTAAAATTGTATCCACTTTATCAAAGTATTTTATGACTTTTAAATATCAAAGTTCTCTAATTTTATTTTGACAATGTTATATCATACTTTGAAGTTATTTGAATTTTTTTTTTTCATATATGATATTACCTGAAAAAAAAAAATATTTTGTTATATCATACTTTGAGGTTGAGAAACTGTTTTGTTACTATTTTATTGAGCTGTTTTAAGATTTCTGATCTAAAAACATATTTTATAAAGAAAAGCTCATGAAATGAAGCATATCCTTTTTATACAGTATTGGGAACCTTCACCAGCTGTTCTGCTACAGGCAAAATATCGTGGTACTTCCAATTTCAAATCCCACTCCACTCAGAAGTCCTTCGCCGTTCGGGATTCAATAGAATCGCATTAGAAACCCTAGCCTAGTTGGTAACCCAGCGAATTGATGAGGCACCGTGAGGAATCCAAGGGGATGGGGGGCAGAACACGAAGAACGGCGAAGAGGAAAACTTAGGGAATTCTAGGGTCTCAGGAAGGCCGATCATGCCAATTATGTGGGGTGAGGGAAGAAAAGAAAAGAGAAGAGAGAGAGAATACATGGAAAGTTTGCATAAAAGAAGGTGATAGAGGTTTCACTTGAGGGTAGGATTGTAGATTGCAGACTTTGTGAGGATGAAGACGATGAACATTTGCACAACAAATAGAAACTGAGGTCATTTATGTATTTTTTCACATCTGAACCATAGGAAGTAGGAGAATGCGGGGGGCCTTCTTAGGACGCTAAAAGCAACAGCGGGACGTAAAAATTTTCAAAACAGAGCAGGAACTCAGTGCCCCAAACGTTACTTTGGTTATGTTTCATAAAGTAAAGCAGCGAAAACGTTGTCCCAAACTCACCCTAAGAGGATCAACATTGGTCGTCCATTCAAACCACTCCCACCTTATTATTGATTTTCTCCATATTTACTAGCAAAGTCACTCTGAGAAAATTATAATTTAATCCCTCATTTCTCATGGAAGGGTGACCCAACGAAAGAAAGCAAGGAAGATCAGGAGGGAAGCAAGTGTGGGCTCCGAAAATTTGGCCCCAGCCTCCGCCCAAGTGTTGCTTTTTCTTTCGGGGAGTTTTAACAGATTTAAGTTTAGGAATAAATTTTGGGAAGGCAAATGGATTTGTAGATAAGACACTACCCAGTGATTTCGCCCTCATTTTGCGAGGACTTTATGATCTAAGTTCTAGTTTCCTATAGGCGCAAGCCCCTATAATTAATTACCCCTCTCGATCACGAGGAAGAACATTCGATTAAGGCTAGTCGTCAATCAGATACGTAAAGATACACGTTATCTGGCATATAGTAGCATCATGGGCTTAAAATGATTTAGAAGTTTGAATATTTGATATTTAAAAATAAAAATTTTGTCATTTTGCACTTAAAGCAAATGATGGGGGAATGGACGATGGACCTGATCAAAATCCCATGGTTCCGTCGTCCCGGGCCATCGTGGTCCCTGATCTACTTAGTTAGAGGAGGTAATCGACCCAACCTAACAAAATGTCATTGTTAGCAGCTATATGTTACTTCGTCCAAGGGTACCTTGTAGACCTGGGGTGAATATTTTCCTAAGGAGACAAATGTGAATCCACCTTAGCTAACAGAGGGCTTTATGCCTTATCAATCATATCCTATTAATTTATATCTCAAGGATTTAATATCACTAAGGAATGCACTGGCTTTGGCTATAATCGATATCTCGTGGTACCATTTGATGTCAAAACCACTCGCTTAAGAGGGTTTCGGGTCAGAACTATTATCCTTCGGTGCCATTTGGTGGAAAAATCTCCGGTCAGAGGACATGTACCACATTCTTACTCACAGGAGATTATTTGAGAATGGATCCTAATAATATTTTTGATGAGGTATAATCTCTATGTGAGCTGAAATAAATTTTAATTTGTCCACCCGACAAACTGTTGCAAAGGGTAGATGGGTTTTACTTTAAGTGATGAATGATTGGATTTCCATTTTAAATATCCTGGAGTTTGGAATTTTGGAGATTTTGGGTTTCATGGGTATTTGGTAACATGGAGGTATTTGAAATATTTGGAATGGACCCCTTAGGTTGAGATTTGCATTCAACACGGCCATCATCAGGGTGTTAATGGGCATTTGGAAATTTTATTAATTGGACCTTGTCAACTCTATCAGTTTGCCAACAGAGGATCGGGTTCTTCATAGGCTTTGTATCTTTATTGGTTAATTTTCTTTGTTGAAGGCCTAGAAGGCCTAATATAAAGGTATTAAGATAAACATCTCAGTCGACCTCACGATTGTATATTTATTTAATAGTTTGAGTCGTGTCAACTCGTATATACCTGCATAGAAGGATCGAGCTCAAACTTAGGTTTATTTACTAACCCGCGCAGCATCCCTAGATGCCATGTGTGTTCCCACAATATACTCGCAATGGCCTATGTTTCGTGTGCCTATGTGCATATATATTATAGTGCATGTGTGGTGGCATTTTGGAATACTTTGATTGTAGAGGCAACTACCATTTCAGTATGCACATCACTCCACTTGAAAGTTTGAACACACCTTATGTTCGCTTATATGAGCATTATGAATCTGGTGGAGTGGCATTACAACTTGTAGATTGAGCTGTTTGTTTCTTTGTACTGGTAGATTATCATACATTAATTGTCACATTCTGTCGTGTTCCGCAAGTAGATTGTAGTGCAATAATGAATCTCCTACTTTAACCCGTAGGTGCTTTCCTTTATTTTGGTTTTCTTGCATTTTGCATGTAAGCAATATATTTCATGTATCACGGATCACTTACAATAGCTTGTAGGATTTCATATTTGTTATAGTCCTACAATATTTGCTCAAAGATGACATGTCAAGTCCATGACAAGTCTTTTACGATAACTTGTAGGTGTTTTTCTCTGATGTACATCACCTGGCATTTGCTTGCAGATAACAAGTTCAATGTATAATGAGCCTTCTTCAGCTGCTCGTGGGAGCTTATATTTGCTTATAGGTAGTGTGTCGCATTTGTATGTAGATTTGGAATGTTGGATAAGCTGCATTCATTGCTAATCTCTTCGTGAATGTTGGTTAGTACATTGTTGTGTTCATTTACATGTCTTTCTTCACTGGTTGAAAATGACATATCAAATATAAGATGAATCTCTTATAGTGCCTCGTACACATTTGTGTTTGTTGTAACTCATTTGATTCTTCTCATATGCAAGGTATTTTTATGTTTATTGTACATCAAATCTTTTCGCTTGTAAGGGATCAATTTGCATTAAGGGGCTGTTTGGTTTCCTGAATTAGGAGTGTAAAGTAAAGTAATTACTTGTATTTACTAAATTTGATTGTTTGGATAATTTTGAGCGGAACAAAAGAAAATCATCGGATGCATTAGGAGTGTATTACTGGGGCTATTTTGCGTGAATTAGAAACCCTCTCAATATGAGCGGGTTATAAATTCATCGGAAGAAAAAAAGCTTCGATCTCGTCGTCGTGCTGTTCGGCTTCATTGCACAATAGTCTTCTTCGTCTCCTTCGTTCTTGTTCGACTTCGCTCCGGCAAACAGCTCCGAAGAGAGTTCGCTCCCGCGAGCAGCTCCACTCCGTCGCAAGCTCTAGCTCGCTCCTGCAGTTCGCAAATCAACTCCCTCTCCTTCTCCTCCTAGCTCGCCCCTGCAGTTTTATTCATCTCATGATGCTCACAGAGAGATTCATTTACAGATTAAGACAAACCTTATCATCTTCTCCGCTCGCCTATCCCTACCCTTATCGATTCTCTTCCCACAAAGCTTTGAAGTAGACGCATGAAGTTCTCCACTCCTTTGCCGCAGGAAAAATCCGAACTTTCCGGTTTCTGAATTTATTCACTTCGCTCTT